TTTTCTTTTACCAAATCAGCCTTGAGCTGGACCTTGACCAGTGCTGTGGTTGAGGGTTGCAAACTGTGGCTATTGTGTCATCCCCTGGATCCCTTTGAGTTGGATGCAGTTCTCATGACCAGACACATCCATTACAATCACCACTGGTGGTTATCACTGCATGGGAAATAGAGGTCTATCTGAAGAGGTACCACATCTCCATAGAACTGAGCTATATGCTCATTTTGCATGACGTGCTACTTGCTCCTCGCATGAGAGGTTCAGGTTTATACTTAAGCAGATAGCTTTGTCCTATGGTTTGAGTGCTCTGGTTTGGTCTGGGGGTGCAATGACAAAGCACAGTGCCTCACCCACACAGATTTTATGCTTTTCAGACTAAATCTCATGCAGGAGCAATGATCCCTGCCATAAGAGCTGAAATGCAAGAAACATGCTGACAAACAGGCCAGAGATCAAAGAGGTGAAGCATCCATGGCCAATGCAGGGAGGGGAAGATTAGCCTCCTCCGCATGTGGCTTGTCAAAGCAATGACAGCTACACAGATGCACAGGTTGAAGTCATGGAGCATGAGCACTGAGAAGTGGCTGCAATCAGCTGTGTCTAATGCTGTTTAGCTGGTAGAGATCTCAACAAATCTCCTTGGTTCAAGGAGAGGGAGGGCTGAAGCGTGAAACTGTATGAAGAATTCTCACCACTCACCCCTAATAAAGTTAAAGTTGAGGTGTTGGGGCTTTCTGATTTTTTTCCCTTTTCTGATTTTTCTACCTTTTCTGCTCAGTGCAATTTGCTACATGCCTGCCTCTGTAGCTTTGGTGTAGCTGGAGACATCCCCATGAATCATAGAACGGTTTAAGTTGGAAAGGACCTGAAGATCATCTTTTCCAACCCCCTGTCATGGGCAGGGACATCTCACACTAGACCATGTCACCCAAGGCTCTGTCCAACCTGGCCTTGAACACTGCCAGGGGTGGAGCATTCACCACTTCCCTGGGCACCCTGTGCCAGCACCTCATCACTCTCATAGTAAAGAACTTCCTTATATCTAACCTGAACTTCCCGTTTCAGTTTGAACCCATCACCCCTTGTCCTATTGCTCCAGTGCCTGATGAAGAGTCCCTCTCCAGCACCCTTGTAGCCCCCTTCAGATACTGGAAGGTTGCTATAAGGAAGGACTGCTGCACAGTCACAGTTTACTTTCTTTCCCAGTGTACGTTCCTTGTTATGGCTCATGATGCCAGGCTTGGTGCAAAAATAAAAGATACTGAAAATAGGACCCATGGCACCAAATCTTGGACATTTTTCATGTGGAAGACTCCACCAGAACTATTCATTCAGGCTGCTTGAAAAGCCACCACTAAGAAACAACCATTTCCAAGCCACTCCATCCTAGAATAAATGCTAACATATTGACTTAACTGTGCCCTGGTCAAATTAATTGTGATTCTCTGTCTTTCCACTGGCTCTCAAGGGAGCCATGAGGAAGGGCTCCTGTGTACATGGCAACTGTAATTCTGTCCCATTCTTAGTTACAACATCCTACCTAAAAATACTTCCTCCTGCAGCAAATCCATCAAAGCTCTTAGTAAGAGAATAGTCCCATGTTACCAGATTTCCTTTCCTTATGGGAACACTTGCATTGCTCATCCTCAGACTCATAAAATGAGCATTGCCAAAGAGTTGTATGGCACAAGAGGAAGAAGGAGAAAAGTGCTGCTCATTACTTCTCTCCCCTATGTCCTGCCACAAGAAGCTGTACCAGTCCAGAGCAAAGAGGAGACATAACCCTCTCGGCCTTGTGGCTTTATGTCTCATGGAAAACACAGCAATAATCCAATGGGGTTTAGTGTCTCCTTAGGAGCTCTTCTTCAGATGACTACCCCCAAGACCCCATTCATTTTCAAAATCACTGCTCTACAGATTAACGTGTCCCCTGGCTGTGATTTTCTCAGATACCACAAAGATGCCCTCAGTGTCAGTAGCTAGATTGACAGTCTCACATGGAGATATCGAAGTGCACCACAGCCAAATAAGCAGCCCCCAAAAAAAGGCCTACTTAAGCATCTCTATACCCAGTGATTCTCCATACCCAGCTGGGAATGTATTTATTATACTTACATTCAAAATCTTGTTATGGACAGAATGGAAACATCTTATATAAGAAACCAAGAATTTGTTACAACTATGTGTGAAATCTTAAGAGTTTTATCAAAGAATTATGATTAATGAAGATCAAATTATTACAGAAAAAAATAAAAAGGAAATTATTATTATCATCTTCATTATTATTACAGAAAATATTTCACTAAAAATACAGTTTAAATTCTTATATCCATACTTACTTTTTTTTACCCCTTTTCCTGGTCTTATGCTTACTCTTCCTCTAATGCCACTGCCTCCCATCTCACAGGGACATGCAGTGATTCATCTGCATTCTGAGTCTTTCCTTGGGAGGAGTATGATGATGGCAATAGATTTGACTTCCTCATCTGAGGATGAACTGGGATTCATCATGTTTGTAAAAGCACTTTCATATCCTGCTCTTTTTAACTGGGTCAGAAGGTGCTGGTCCACTTCTCATGGGATTTTACCGTGTTTGCTGCATTTTACATTAGTTTGATATTTGCTGTTTGTTCTCTTTGCTGTTCCAGAAGATCATTTTGCTTCTCCAGGTCTGCATTTCTTTGTTGGTGAGTTGCTTGCAACTGAGGGGTCTCTAATTCCAAGCTGATGCTCCACCTTGTATCACCCCAACACTCTTCTGTGCCACGTCCTGCACCTCCATCTCTTGAGGCCTGTACTGCTGTACCACATCTGTATTTATGTTGGAGTCCTAAACTGCTCATTCTACATACAACAACTCCTTGTTACAGCTGTCTATGCAAACTTAGAGTTGCACCACACAAAGGCAAACAAAAGCAAAGCAAATTAGGCCAATTAGGAAAACTGCTGTTACAGCAAAGTTGAAAGCAGGTCAAGACAAGTTCAGACAGAGCAAGCCCAGCAAGCCTCAGCCCTGAGGACCTGCAAACTCAGTGAAAAGACTGTGGCCTATTGTGAGCAACGCCAGTATTGTGGTTACTGGGTTTCAGAGCTGTATCATCATCTCTTGCAGTTGAGAGCCAATGGTTTTAATTCTGTGCACCTCTTTGGTGTCATGACTTTAGCTCCACCAGCCAAATATGCTCTGTGCACCTTCCCAAGCCCAGCAATGGCTCGGTTTCAAGCATTTTCAGTGTCCTCCTGTTGCATTAAGAGGGGTTTTAGCTCAGACCTTTATGTTTGATGGGTGTGCCAATGTGCCAGGAAAGACAAGACCCTTGAGCTCTACTGGACACCACACTAAATCAGAGGGCTTGACTGTCCTATACAGGGGTTCCCAGTAAAAGATTCAATTATTCAAGTTTCTGGAAACACACAAAACAGATCTCAGCTGAGAGTTTTAATTATTCAAATTTGTGACAGGTGAAGTTTCAAGGATTGCCATTGATTGTACACTTACTGCAAGAACAAGCATAGAATCATAGAATGGTTTGGGTTGGAAACCTAAAGATCATCCAGTTCCAATCCCTGCCATGGGCAGGGACACCTCACACTGGACCATGTCACCCAAGGCTCTGTCCAACCTGGCCTTGAACACTGCCAGGGACGGAGCATTTATCACTTCTTTGGGCAGCCTGTTCCAATGAAATAATACATAAAAATATCTAAAATCCATCTGGAGTTTATCCTTAAATGCATATAGAGTATAATTCTTACCTAATACATATCCCTATGGTGAACACAGCCTGTCAGCCAATCCCAGTTGCAATGAAGTCTTCCCTAACTTGTCCTCTTCCTGATTTCACATATTTATACAATTCACTTCAGGTTAGTAACTCCCTGTAACTTTCCCACCATTCCCTGACTGGTCAGTTAATTTACATGAGGTTACATCGATTTTCCTATTACACGTGCTCAGGGAAGGGTCTTTTAACCTGGGCAGGGTTCTTTTGGCTTGGAGGAGTGATTTTTAGTATTATAATGATGGAATTATGAGGATACCTCATCCAAAAAAAACACTGTAATCATTTTACTGACACATCAAAGCCATATTTTGACCATGTCTATATGTTTTCAGGATGTACCAGACTTCAAGCATGGTCTTTCCTGATGAGAGATCTCTTAGCCTTCTTAATCTGCATACACAAGGCAAAAGTCTCCTCTCAAGCTATCATGGAATCATGGAACAGTTTGGGTTGGAAACCTAAAGATCATCCAGTTCCAATCCCTGCCATGGGCAGGGACACCTCACACTGGACCATGTCACCCAAGGCTCTGTCCAACCTGGCCTTGAACACTGCCAGCGATGGAGCATTCACCACTTCCCTGGGCAACCCCAAGCACAAACAGAGGCTGGTGGAGAATGGATGGAGCAGCCCTGAGGAGAAGGACTTGGGGGTGTTGGGTGAGGAGAAGCTCCCCATGACCTGGCTTCAGTGTGTGCTTGAGCCCAGAGCCCCCCCATGCGCTGGGCTGCACCCCTAGAGTATGAACAGTAGCTCAGGGAGGGGATCCTGCCCTTCTGCTGTGGGAAGGGGAGACCTGAGAGCAGCTCCAGTGCCTAAAGGGGCTGCAGGGAACCTGGAGAGGGGCTTTGGACAAGGGCCTGTAGGGACAGGACAAGGGGAATGGCTTGAACCTGCCAGAGGGGAGACCGAGATTAAATACAAGGAAGAAATTCTTTACTGTGAGGGTTGTGAGGCAATAAAATATAAAAAGATAAAAAACAAATACAATTAAAAAAAATAAAGCAAAATAAAATAAAAATAATATAGTATAAAATGAAATAAAACAAAATAAGTAAAATAAAATAAAACTAAACTAAATAAAATAAAATAAATAGTAAAATAAAATAAAATTATGAAATATTCATCTGAGGACATGTGCAGTATAAGTAACTTCAGTGATCACCACAGTTTTAACACAACGTTCTTTTTATTGTGCTCAAGAGGGTACAGAAAACAAGAGATTTCAGCTTCCTTGGATTAGATCACTGGTGTGGGAAGTTTCTTCTCCTGCCTCGTATTTTGGACACTGAAGTGTCTCCTTAACTTACTGTGTCCAAGAAGGGAATCTAGACAGAACAAAAGCCTGGTGTGGAGAGGACCTGCCACATAACCGAGTTTCATCTGAGAAGCTTGGTCAGTTCTACTGGCTAAAACCTGGGGGGACAAAGTGCTATAAGGAGGTAAGGAAGGCTCTCAGTGCAAGACTCTTCTGCTTTAAACAGACTTAGTTCAAAACCAACCAGATCAGCACAGCAAAGAAACTCCATAGTTAATTTTGTGGGAGCTTTTGAGTGGATTAAGAAATTCAGGTCAGAACTTCCAGAGTTTTGTTTCTCTCTTGGTTGTGGGAAAAGGATTCTCACTAAAGTGATTCCTGGAGCTGTTGATGGTTGTCAATGTGGCACCCAAGCAAAAAGCTGGGCTAGCAGGGATTTGTTCTCTTCTTCACTGGGTTCTTCAGCATTAAAGACCTCGCCATCAGCTCTTCACAGTCTAGTCCAGAAGAGGACGCAGAGACAACTTGCTAGCATCACAACTGGCACAAAGCTGCTCCTCAGACTAGCTGCACCATCCACATTGCACAAGTCAGTGTAACAGCAGGAGACGGGGCGCGTCAAGCCGATCCCATCCACGTCAGATGGGATGCAGACGGAAGAGCACATCTTGGTGACGGTCAGGACTCCCGTGAAGGGATAAACTACAACACAGAAAGAAAGGAGGAACAGTTAGGAATGGAAGGAATGGAGAAGTGCCCTTGTCCCTGGTGAAAGACTGGGTGCTTTCACCACCACGGTCTTAGCTCCACTTCAAACACAATTGGTCTACTTCCTATCAAGAACACAAGAAACAGCTCCCACCGAGTGGCCACAAGCTGAACAGCACTTTGCATCCTCTGAGTCTGGATCAGCTTTACCCCATAAAAGGTCAATTAGGCTCTTTTTCCGCCCTGCTTTGACTCTACATACAATCTCCTGCCTCTCCCATGCACAATCAGAGCATGACCATGCAAAGAGAAAGCATCCACCTTCACAGTGCATTTCTTTGTCTGGACAGGTTATGACCAGTAGGGTCACCAGTCCAACTGATGATGCCTTTCTGAGAGCTGTTTGGCCACCAGATGACCAGAAGTTGGTGTCCCTGCTTTACCAAGCCTTGCTCATCTCTATCGGCCTCTCTACTTCAACCAGCTTTCACAAACAGATCTTGGGTCAGGAGAGCACTGTTTAACCCACAACCATGTAAACAGCCTGGAGGGCCAGAACTCTTTGTCTCCATGTCTCAAGCTCAAGTCAACATGTGTTTTCTAACCATGCTCAACACTGAGCATTAGCTATGAGCTGGCATTCACTAAGTATTCATGCACATGAAGACTGCTTTCCACAGCAGCAGAAGGCTGCTCTATGCCTCAAAGAAGTTCTCTTCCCTTATTGAAGGGAGAACAGGGTCTGCTCCCCACATGGGCAGTTTTCACCTTAGAAACACTGACTTGTGTTAAAAATATGGATAAAGAAGTAATTGCCCTTACCATCCTCCAGGGAATACATAGTAGTCTTGCACATGGTTTCGTTATTCTTGCAGGTCTGGATTGTCTTACACTGATCGACACTGACAGGTTCAAGGCAAGTGTAACATTCCAAGGTTTGCCCTGCAAGGAGGAAAAACATAGGTTGGCATTATGTGGACCACCATATGCTGTCTGTGTCCCTTCAGCTACCTCTGGGGAGGGTATCTTCCCAAAATTCTTATACCAAGAACAGGGATGGAATAGACATATATATTTGTACCAATGGGAATGAGAAAATCAGTAGACTGGTGGTCAAAGCGCAGCCTCAGATGTGGGTTCAAACCCATTGTAACAAGTCAAGCAAGACAGAGTCACGCACATAGAAGTCCCCATGATTCAGAATAGACCTTGTAGCTGATATACCTCTACTCTGTTCTCACTTTGCATCTGTTTTTCTTCTTGCTTTTGCATTAGAAGAGCATCAGAAAGAGATCATAGACTCACAAACTCATAGAATCACAGAATGATGAAGGCTGGAAGGGACCTCTGTAAGTCACCTAGTCCAATCCTCGTGTTCAAGCAGAACCACCTAAAACCAGTTACCCAGGTCTGTGTCTACAAGGGTTCTTACTAACTCCAAGGATGGAGACTCCCCAACCTCCCTGGACAACCTTCCTGTTCAGTCACCGTCGCAGTAATAAAGTCTTTCCTGATGTTCAAAGGGAACCTCCTGTGTTTCTGTTTGTGTCCTGTGCCCATTGCCTCTGGTCCTGTCACTGGGCACCACTGAAAAGTGTCTGGCTCTATCCTCTTTGCACCCTCCCTTCAGGTATTTATAGTCATTAATAAGTTCCCCCCTTGAGCCTTCTCTCCTCCAGGTTGAACAGTCACAGCTCTCTCAGCTTTCCCTCAGAGGAAGTGGCTCTTCACTGAATTCTCTCCAATCTGTCCATGTCTCTCTTGTACTGGGAAGCCCAGAACTGGACACAGGACCCCACATGTGGCCTCACCAATGTTGAGGAGAGTGGAACAATCACCTCCCTCTACCTGCAGTGCTTCATCCAATGCAACCCAGATACCAGTAACCTTCTTTGCCACAAAGATACATGGCTGGTTGATGTTCAACTTGGTGTCCACCAGGACCCCCAGATCCTTCTGGCTATATGGCCCCCAGCATATAGTGATGCATGGGTTTGTTCTTTCCTATGGGTAGGACTCTGCACTTGTCTGATGTTCCTGTCAGCTCAGTTCTAAAACCTGTCAATGTCCGTCTTGATGGCACCTCTGGTGTATCACCCGCTCCTGCCACATTTGTGCCATCCACAAGCCTGCTAGAGATGAGCTCTGCCCTATCATCTGGATCATTAATGATGGTGTTAAACAGGGCTGGACCCAGCATTGACTTTTGGGGTCAATACTGGGTTAAGTTACTAATCTTCAAGTGGACTTTGTGCTGCTGATTACCACCCACTGATCTTGGCCATCCAGACAGTTCTCTATCCACTTCACTGTCTGCCCATCCAGCCCATACCTCTACAGATTGTCTATGAGGATTCTATAGGACACAGTGTCAAAGGTCTTCCTGAAGTCCAGATAGAAAATATTCACTGCTCTCCCCTCATCTACCAGGCCATACACTTCATCATAGCAGTTTATGAAGTGGGTCAAGCATGTCTTCCCCTTGGTGAAGGGTCTGGATACACAGAAAAATCAGACTTGAATGTGAGTTACAGGAGAGAGAGGGAGAACTTCATCTGCTGCTGTCCAGTCTGTCAGCCCTTTCCAAGACTAGGAGCTATAAAATAGGAGAGTGTCCCAGAGAGAAGGAATTGTCTCCATAAGATTTACTGAGCCATGAGAACAAAGTAAGCACAATCCTTCCTCTGTGCTGAGATTCTGGTTTTGTGCAAAGAATGTGTAAGAAGTCATTTTAAAAAGATGGCAGTGACCACAGTATGCATGGGGTATGTACTGCTCTCAGCAGAGACTATAGAAGCAGACTTTGGTACCCAAGTCTCCAAAGCCAGTCCAAATCCACCCTGCTTCATCCTTCATCTACGATCTTCACCAGTGCAAAGATGCTCTTCATCACCTCCCTATTAAGCTGCAAAGGCCCATGCAAACCTGCAGGTGCCACTCGGCTCCTAGACACGCAGAATAACCACAGCCCAGGTTTTTCAGTACCTAAAGTCTTTTGAGATGGAGAGATTTTAGACAGAGACACTGAAGAGTCAAGTTGGTTGTTATGCAGTATTTCCAGAGCACTCCAAGCTAAACATATCAAGCCAACACATCACCAAGCCATTTTTGGACAAGCTTTTCAGGGCACTTTGCTTTTCTTTCTGAAGAACCCATCAGCTGATCTGGGTCATCTCTTCCATCACCCTAGCAGATACCTGCATGTGTGCGCCTTACAGGCATAGCAATGCATTTTGGTACCCTCACAGACCAGCAGCCCCTCCTTGTTCTAGAAAGCAGTTCTTACCCCATCTATGTGACATCCCTGCTGAAATCCCTTTAAACCCCATTGAAAAGGAGGAACAATTCAGCTTATCTCAGCACGCCTAAAGCGGGGTGTCACAACAGCAGGCGCAGGCAAGCAAGCCGCCTTATGAAAACAGCAATGCAACTTCACCCTAGCTAGTAAGCCAGAAAGAGCCCTTTTCTAAACAGACACAGCAATTCTCTTCCTTCTATTCAAAGCAAACTTTCTGGTTCTGTTTGCCCGTTGTGAGCTGCTGTTTTGTTTGCATTAATTCTACGTCTGACAGCTGTCAAATGCAGCTTTAAGGAGCAGGCTTCATCATTATTCTCAGATTTCATTATATTCATCACTGGATAAATCAAAGCCACAAAATTTGTGTTCCTCTTTAGAAAGAAAATGATGCTTGTCCCTCCCCTGCAGAATCAGCTTTCAGGCCAAATGGTGGAGGGGGGGAAATGTCCTTACATAAGAAGGAAAGAAAGACAAAGGAAAAGGTCCTAGCATTGCTCCACATCCCAACCAGGGACAGATAAAATCACACTTTACAGTGTGTGGACCTGGAAGAGTTGTGTGGAGCACTCACATATAAAATCATAGAATGGTTTGGGTTGAAAAGGACCTTAAGATCGTCCAGTTCCAAACCCCTGCTATGGGCAGGAACACCCCACACTAAACCACGTCACCCAAGCCCTGTCCAGCCTGGCCTTGAACACTGCCAGGGATGGAGCATTCACCTCTTCTTTGGGCATCCTGTTCCAGTGCCTCACCACCCTCACAGTAAATAACTTCTTCCTTATATCTAGTATCTATCTATCCTTATATGTAATATCTCCATTAACAGTTCCTGCACTGACCCTGCATAGGAGTTACCTTGGCCAACCAGGGTAACACTAACTCTGAGATTGGGATCATCACTATAAAATAAGGGGTTTGTTCAAGAAGTTATTCTGGTGGCAGCATGGAGGGATGGGGAGTCTATGCCATGATGCCCTTTCCACTGTGCAGTCACCTTCCACCAGTGGAGGTTATGGCATCACCACTCATGTGCGTCTGCCTGAAAAGAGGGGATTTCCTGCTTTTTTAGGGAATAAAAACACCAATATCCCAAACATCCTCCCATGCTTGGCTTCATGGAGGTGGTGATGGAGAAGGAGCAACTGAATCCCACTGATGGAAACAGAGGAGTAAGATTTGCATGGCATCCCTAGATAGCCTAAACTCATAGGGCTTCATCCCTACCTCCACATCCTGTATAGGTCACCCTCAATATCAGGGGTGGTTGCCTACCCAACCTTGACTGTGTGCTTCAAGCCTACCCCCTCCAGCAAGGAGATAGGGAGAGAAAGGAGGGAGGAAGGATGGTGGGAGTCACTCCTTGTGGTGACAAACTCTTAAATCCTCCTGCAAAGAGAAAGTCCCTGAGGAAAGCCCATAAAATGCTTCACACTTGATCGTTTCCCAAGCTGAAATTGTCTTTGACTTCATGCGAACCACAGTGTGTTAACTACAGAGCTAGAAACATGAGCCCTGCACTACCTGGGCCACCAGCTTTGTGTCCCAGCCCATCTTTCCTACTTCTAAATGGTTAAAGCTTAATAAACCACACGTACAACATATAACACACACTGCATTAAAGTGGCTGGATGAATTTCAGGGTTAAGTACCAAAACAGGAACAGAAAGTTAAATATTTATGGTTTACATATTTTTATTATGAAATATATATTTAAATATTTCTAAAAATGGATTTCTAATTCCATTTATATTTATACTTCTATTTTTATTTATACTTATATTTATATTTATATTTGGTTTTGTATTATCAATTTATATAATTTTATAGAAAGATGAGAGTGAAATGGAGCAAGAACACAGGAAATGAAGAGCTGAGATTTGTATCAAAGAAATTACACGGTGTAATTACACTTTGCCTTGTAACACTTCCTAAAGAGCCTGATCTAACAATCCCAAAGAGACCATGATGGTCCTTAACACGTGACAGGCTGGAGATATTCCAAAGGCAGATTGCATTGCTGAAAACTGATCCAAATGGGAGGCATGGAGAAGGAAAAGGTCGATCCCATCCCATCATGCTGCATCTCCGCGGATAAATCAGAGCAGGAACTTACCAAGCTCCATGCAAGCGATGGCAACCAACAGAAGAGACAGAACCACCTTCATCTTGCACAGATCCTTGTCTCCTGGTCACTGGGCTGCCACCGCTCTTCACCTGTGGCTTTAACGGCTCACGTCCTGGTGGCTTGCCATATACCGATTCTAACCCCCAATCCAATTCTGCTGGAAGAACGAGTCTGATTGAGCTATAAATGAATCAAATGGGTTACAAAGCAGGCCCCACCTCCTGCCATGCCGTCATCTCTTTTCATGCTCCTTGGAGAAGAAAATGAGGCTTTGTATAGTGGACAACTTGTGAGATGTGTTTAAGCCAGGTGATTTGTGGTTAGGCACGATGCGTAAACCCAGGGGTGTTAAATAATCCCAGTGGCTATGCCTTGCCTTTCAGCTTGGTGATGTTTCTTCTGTTTTGCTGCTGTTTGAGCTACATCAGTGGTTTCCACGAATTCTGGGGAAGAAAACAATCTGTGAACAGCAAGACATTGAATCTCATGTACTTTTCTCCTCTGGGTTTTTACACTCAGTAAGGGCCAGAGGTTATCAAGAGGAAAAGAAGTGGAGAGCTGATTTGCAATCCCTTACTCACTGCAAACACATGCCTGGGGTTTTGGCACTCTAATACCTCTGCCCAAGCTATGGGGTCAGGGGGCTGAGGGTTGGAGTGCACTGCCTCCCTCTCTCCTCTCTCTGCCCTTTACAGACCGAGGTGGTGGGAGTGCTTAGAAGGCAACACAGAATCATAGAATGGTTTGGTTTGGAAAGGACCTCAACATCATCTGTTTCCAGTGCCCCTTCCAGGGATGCCTCACACTAGACCATGCCACCAAAGGCTCTGTCCAACCTGGACTTGAACGCTGCCAGGGATGAAGCATTCACCACTTCTCTGGGCACCCTGTGCCAGCACCTCAGCATCCTTACAGTAAAGAACTTCTTCCTTATCTCCCCTGTTTCAGTCTGAACCCATCACCCCTTGTCCTATCACTCCAGTCCCTGATGAAGAGTCCCTCTCCAGCATCCTTGTAGCCCCCTTCAGATACTGGAAGCTGCTCTGAGGTCTCCACACAGCTTCTCTTCTCCAGGCTCAACAGCCCCAATGTTCTCAGCCTGTCTCCATGCAGGAGCTGCTCCAGCCCCTGATCATCCTCATGGCCTCCTCTGCACCTGCTCTAACAGCTCCATGTCCTTCTTATGCTGAGGACACCAGAACTTCACACAGTGCTGCAAGTGGGGTCTCGCAAGTGCAACAGAGCCAGGCCATGAAAGTTTGGGCCAAGGGAGCTCCTCAGGTTCACTCTCCCAGTCCATTCAGGGAAGACAGTGCATGAAGAATCCCCTCTGTTCTGAGCCAACCCTCTCCACGTGTGACAGCTTGCCAAACAGTTTGGCTTTCCCATTCCTTGATCTTGCTGCTCCAGGCATCTTCCCACTTTTCCTGTGCCTCAGGCCAGCCCCATGTTAGTAAATCCTTCTACTGTGTGTGATGAGCAAGTTTGATTGTGGAACTGCAAAAACTGAGAAAGAAGAACTGTGGTTATGCCAAGTACCCACCCAGAACACACTTTTAATGAGGAAACACAGGAGGGAAATCTGAAACAAAGAGGGTCTTGGAGACATTCCCACCACCTATGCTATGTATTACATCAACTTTACTCGAGGTTAGTATGACTCAAACTCTTGAAACATTAAAAGGTCTTCTGCTGTTCCAAGATAAATAACCCCATCATCATCTCTCCAAACCTAAAGCTCTTGTGGCAGTGGTCTCAACCATTTTGGCAAGTTCAGCCTCATTTACTTCTGTGTGATCTACCTCCTCACAAATTTGGACCCATGTTTTCACACTTACCTCCATAATCACAGACTGGTTTGGGTTGGAAAAGACCTTAAGACCATCCAGTTCCAACCCCCTGCCATGGACAGGGACACCTTCCACCAGACCAGCTTGCTCCAAGCCCCTGAGTCCAACCTGGCCTTGAACACTGCCAGGGATGGAGCATTCACCATTTCTTTGGGCAACCCTTTTCCAGCACCTCATTACCCTCACAGTAAAGAACTTCTTATCTAATGCAGTCATAATGTTGATTATGAATGTTTGCCAGTTATTTCCAGCCCAGAATCATCTAGAGAAAGGCATTTGGTGTATTCTTGGTTTGGAATTTCTTGTGTTTGGCAGAGAACTTCATAATCTTATCAAGAAAGGAGAAATATGCTGATGGTGTCTCCTTTGCTCCTAAGAAAAGAAAACCCTAAACATGCAAAAGGGTGTAGTTTCTGGTTTCTGGTATTAAGTGACCTCAAGTAATATGTGCAAGATGATTGGTTTCACATGCACATCTGAAATGTGATCTTCATTACACTGTACGATTTGGGATGGAAGAATAGATGCCAACACCCTACTTAAATCCCATGACCTCCTTCAGTGTGGAGGGGTGTTTCTGGAGGGGGGGGTGACAGCATATTTCACTTGTTTATAGTTTCACTTGATCTTATCTGAGTCTTTAAGCACGGCCTGAAATGTTTCCTCTTTTATGCACACCCTATGCAATTGCCTTGCAGTGCTGGCAAGCCACCAGAGAAATAACAACAATTAATGGGAACATCCAAACAGTGCTTTGTTGAATTCCTTTTGTTCTTTAGTGGGTAATCACAGCCTGTTGTGTTGGGGGTTTTCCATTAATTACATAGAAGAAAAACCACAAAGACACAAGCTGTATAAATCTGCTTCAACAACCCACAACGCTTAGCAGCCTTTGAGAAAAGAAGACATTTTGCGGTGTATCTGTTCAAAGGAAAACCAGGAGAAGAAATCTCTGCATTTCAGAGGAGTTTATTATAATTTAGAGTTCAGAGTCAAATTTTTACTTTGAGCCTGAGAAACCTGTGCTGATCTCCTCTCCTGTTCCACCTGGCCAGCTGAGACAGTCTCTGATGGAGGCATCTTCATCTGATGTGCAGTTCTGCAGCAGTTCCATCCACTCTGGAAATAGTCTTCAATCATAGAATCATGGAATGGTTTGGGTTGGAAAGGACCTTAAGATCATCCAGTTCCAACCCCCTCCCATAAGCACCTCACACTAGACCATGTCACCCAAGGCTCTGTCCAACCTGGCCTTGAACACTGCCAGGGATGGAGCATTCACCACTTCTCTGGGTACCCTGTTACAGTGCCTCATCACCCTCACAGTAAAGAACTTCTTCCTTATATCCAACCTAATCATTTTAAACTCTCCATTTTCTTGATTCTATTCAGCTCTTCATACATCTCCTAGGAATTCCACAGCTTCCCAGTGCAGATTGATGTAGGAGCAAAAAGCTATGACTGGATTCAAAGGTAGATGTAAACAGGCGCCGACGTGACAGTATCATATGCTAGTGCTGAGCTTTGGCTGCACACCTCCAACTAGGTTAAACCCCAAACCACTCCTGAACGATGAGTAAATATGATTATCTCGTCTCGTATCTTATTATAAAATCAGATATCAGGAAGCTGAGATGCAGAGAGGTTAATTAGGCTTGTGGAGCAAGGCAGTAGTGTCTCCAGAAACAGAGCCAGCATTGTATTCCGCATGGTTTAACCATAGTTAATGCTCCTTTTTCATCACTGCTCTTCAGCTCTTTTGCAACGCTGATAGGAGGTGCATGAGTTACTACAAGCAACAGTGCTGGCCTGAAAGCCACGTACTTAGAGGTTTATCCTAAGCTCTGTCAATTATTTGCTACCTGGCCTTGGAAAACGAACCAGGGTTGCTCCATTCTAGGTATTAAGTTGGTACATGTTGCAAGGTTGATCGTAACTACAATATTAAGATAGGCATTAGAAAGGCTAAAGAGATTTGAGCAAACAATTCATGCTTTTCTCCTAGTGGCTTCAGAATAGTGTCAGTCACAGTAACCCAGACTGGTTTGAAAGGGACCTTGAAGCTCCAAGCCCTCTCCAAGCAATGATGAAAGCCACTTAAAGAAGCCAGCAGCAAGGATGGGTCAGTCTATTCAGCAGACCTGCTGGCATGAAATGTGCTGGGGATTAAACTACCATGAACTTCACCTCTGATGCATCATGTCCCCCATCTATCCCTTATAAAAATCACAATTCTCCAGAGATGAGAGCCACTTTGCACCAAAAAGAGAGAATTAAACACCTGTCTTTGCCCTCCTCCATTTCCTCCATTGAGGAGAAATGTCTTCAATAATTAAAAGAGAAACCTGAAAAAGCAAAGTAAAAACTAAGCAGTGCCAAGCCTGAATGTGGCCTATCCCTATGAATAATGCATCAGGAATCCAACCCTGCAGCTCTTTTAGGGCCGTTTCCACTCAGGCATCACTCATTAGCTCATTAGTCACAGCAGCCTTACTCCTACTAATTGATTTTACTACAGTTCCCTACAATGTATGGCCAAGATCCAGCATGTCTCTGTCTGGCTTTAAAATCATTACATTGGCACAGCTTTGCAAGACACTTCAACCCTTTTTCAAGCCTGTTGAGCATGTAAAGGTCGGGTGATTCCTGTAACTGAGTTGTTGGAAGGTGTCCTTGGGGAAAGGGCATGTGTTCCCTCAATATGAGGAGCAATAGGCTAAATCATCCTGCTGAGCAGAGAGTTGTGATTGTCAAAGTCAGTAGTAGGTCAGTCTGCTATAGATTGCAGCTGCAGGTGGGTACAGGAAGCTTGGCAGCTCTCTCCACATTGGTTTCCATCTTGGTACTGGAGTAGGACATGAGGGATGCTGGTTAGTGCAGGGCCTGGAGCACCGATCAGACCAGACCACAAGTACAAAGGGTTTCTTTAACTCTGATGCTCCTCCTATATTCCCACCAGACCTCACTGTATGTACCCCAGCCATGTGTTGCGTGCTATACCTGACAATTACTGATGCTTTGTATAGTCACCAGGACAGGATGGAAGGAAACAAGATGATTTCTTTCTCTGAGTCCTGTTCTTTGTATGTAATGATTCACCTGCCTTTTTTTTTTAACTTCCCAACCTGTTTTTTCCCTCTTTGAATTCAATGCAGGCACCTCTTATCTCTAGGATGTTATTTAAACTAACTCTGTGTAGCACTGAACTCTTTCCAGGTGGCACCTTCACATTTATCTCTTGCCTGGCCAGTGGCCATCATACGGACACAGTGGTCCCATGGGGGAATCCTACAGGACTTAATAGCTGTTAAAGCGTGTTCTCCCTCTCTGTTCATAATGCAGATGAAAGGATTGATCCTGTATTTATAACTAGTGAGAATTTGTCTTCCCTGTCAATGTCTTCTAGTTTCCTTTGTTCCTTTTGGCTTCCAAGCTGGTATCTTTCCCCTTCCATCCACCATGACTGACTAAGGCAGTAATCACTTGCCTTGAGATTATTTGTTCCATCCAGCTTTCCAAGGCATTGTTAATGGTGAAGGAACTTAAATCACTTGCTCAGCATAGCTGTCACCTGCTTTAATTATCCCCTACCTCCCCTCA